TCACCTCTTCAGACTCCTGCTTAGATGTTGATTTCAGTGAGCCTCTTGACGTGGGAGCCTGAAACATTAACACAAGGTGCCAACACTTCAGTCATCAGTTTGTGACCTTTGCCTCTTTCTAGCTAACATGCCTGTTACCCAGCAGTTGGTTCAGAGGAAGAGAAAAATCTCCACAAAGCACCTTTTAATGTTAAAACCCCTCTATTGTAGTGAGGGAAAAACAGTGTCATCTATGGCTGGAATACTTGCCACAGAACCCCTACCTGGTGTGACTACACACACTGATGGTTACATTGTGTGAATGTGCTCCACAGTAGTGGAAGAACTAACATCCCAGTGGTCATCTTTCACTGGCGGCACAGCTAGCTTACCTCTTCAGACTCCTGCCTAGACGACGGTTTTACTGACCCTCTTGATGCAGGATGCTGAAAAATTAACACAAAGGCAGAGAATGTAAGAATATAAACAATCTGTATTTTTGCTTCAAATCACTTTTTATAATGACATCTCAGACTGAGTTAATGTCTCTCACATGAACCTGGACAGGAGATATGAGAAATGTGTGACACTCCTGTCTTCATATAGAATAGACATGCTCCCATGGTCAGCCCAAATATTAAAGGTGCTTAGAAGACACTTAGCAATAACCCTTTAACTGGCCAACTACTGTATCTAGAGGCCTTCTAACCCAGGGAAGCGCCTTCATAAACATTCCAACAGAATTCCTGGATTTGTTACATAGAAAACATAAACACTATTGCTCCAGAATATTAATTCGATGATGTGAGGTACAGTGCACCAAATATCAGAACTGAGATAAAATGAGAGTGTGAGGAATGGATTCATCAGTCTGTCATCTACCAGCAAGTATGACATGTTTTTTGTTTTATTTTTCCTTTGGCAAGGTATTATTACTATTATTCACTGTTAATAGATATCCCTAGTGAAAGAATATTAAGTCCACTTTACCTTTGGTCAGAAATTCAATCAACATTTTATAAATGTATTGTTTAAAAAGTAATTTAGTCCTACTACTAAAAACTCTAGATCACCATTAATAAAAGAATAAACAAATATATTGACATTTTATACATAACTGGAACATTGGAAGAAGACACTGACACTGTTCTACCAAGACTGTCTAACAAAAGAAGACTATGAATAATTCCAGTTTTTAATTTTTAATAATTATTTACAACACCAATACAAGTACAATATAAAAGGCTAATAAAGTACTTAAT